TGCAGATATTGATCTAGCGATATGAGCGTGTGCCAGTTTTCAGCGGTTGCCCGCGAAAAGCCCAAACTATCAAAACGCTGATCAAAGTAAAAACGCAGCCCGAGAGGCTTAAGAGTCGCCGCGGACCTCTTAAGCCTCTCGGGCTGCGTTTTTACTTTGAACTGAGCTGAGTGAACTCTAGCATAGTAGAGTCATCACGTGATTCTGACCGCCTGGGGTTCAAGACTAAAACTTGTCAGGAGTGGGGCGCATAGGCGCTGCAGTATGGCTCTGCTCAACTACACTGGCACCGAAAATCGGTGACCAAAATAAGACTGACTTACTGTAATTTCCCTTGTAATAATGGAGTTTTCGATCTTGCAAGTGGATGATATCAGTACAAACGTTATCCAAGAATCCTTGATCGTGAGAAACAATAAGCAACGTCTTCTTCCATGACTGAAGGTAGCTGAACAAATAATCCTTCAAAACATTACTACAGCGAAAGGCACAACTAAGAATAAAAGAACATACTTGTCCAGCCAAATAACTGCGTTCAAGTCAAGGTGATTAGTAGGTTCATCAAGCATTAGTAAGGTGGGCTCTAAGAACAGAGCACGAGCCAGAGAGATTCTCATTCTCCATCCTCCCGAAAAGTCCTTAAACAGCGATGATTACAGCAGTATTGATCACGATAGCTAACCATCAGTTGAACTCCTAATGTTCAGTATTGAAAAAAGAATTGGGCGCTACTTATAATTTGGTGATTTAAAGGTCACAATCCGGCCAAACTATCCGAAATTTTGACTCGCGGGTTGATTTGGCTATATATTCTGGAGTTAGTCTGCCCGCATGAACACCAATAGGATGCATCGTGACTGAAAGCATCGTAGCGCCGCAAGCGCCGGCGCCAAAGCACTTCGGAACACCAAATTTGTTCGAAAGTTATCCTCAGAGGTATTTTGTCCATGGGCGGGGCGCTAACACTGCATTAACTTAGCGCGAAACCGCTTGGTTTGTACCTTAGATGCGCCATCGTCAAAACAG